CAAGTAATGATGATGATGTCTTCATTGTTGACTTAATTAATAGTAGGGCAAATACTCAGTTCGATAACACACTCTGAAATACTTAAATGACATCTCATAACTAGCTTAAACAAGAGTTTGCTGTCTGATTGTTAAATAATCATAAACTGTATTTACAAGGCAGGTTCTACTGGCGCTCTTTGAAAATGTAAAGATGTTGTGGTAATGTTGGGAGCATAGACTTGGTCAGACAATAGGTCGTGGTGAGACTCGGCCTTTAATGGGTCTTATGAAAGCCTTCACCCCATTTTATTTTTCTGGAATGCTTCCAGACTGGTAAGGCTTATTTATAACTATCAGGTAATTAGATCCTTTTAAGAAGCTACCTTTTTGGTTTGGCATATAAATAAGTTCAAGAACAATGTCTTAAGTGCCACTAAACAGCTACTAAATCAACATTAACAAAGACTACCAGTACATTATCATTTTCTTAATTACAACTTGAATCAATATTCTCTAGTCTAATAACATCTTCACTGTCTTGTCACTATGTTAAATGGTACCTTTGTATTCCTTCCCAGAGTTGTCAACTGCAGTTCCTCATATTCAGCCTTGCACTTTGCTGTACAATGTTGATAATTATTCTTTGTGCAATAGCATATGCAACCTCAAAACCTTGTTTACTGGTAGCACCTGTGGCTTTGTTAACAGGAAATAAGAGTTTCCTCGTTTACAACACGCTCTGCCATTATTTTTTTGTTGATGCATCTGATGTAGATGTCTCCGAGATCTGCTTCAGATGTCAGTATCAGGTGGTGTTTGGGCAAGTTGTATTATGTACAAAAATGTATGCAAGTGTGACACAGAAACTTTACAATTTTAAGGGGTTCACCAGCAATTTTGTATTAGACATCCATAATATTGGCTTACTCAATATTTTGGAATAATTAAAATAATTGTTTCTCTGCATAGTCACCGAGGTCAACTGTTTTCACAGACTTAATAATACTCATCATGGGTAATCTTTATGTGTAGAATCTAAAGAAGTGAAACAATCAACAGTCACATTACTAATGGACATTAATTAGACAATTAGCAAATCCTCAGTTGTTGACAGGTTACATTTTTGTAAGTTAGCAACTCCACAACAAGGTAAATAGCAACTGGAGGATTCATATTGTTTTTTGACAAACAAGGTTGCTTCTCCTTTCAGGCTTCTTATTGTTTGCCCAGGTCACAGTGAGCTGCCTCTCTCCTTGTGCCTTGTCTTTCTTGCCTATGCAGGTCTGTAGGGGAAGAGCCCTCCAGCTAATTAGAGACTTGCCAGTGGAATTTCACTGTGACAAAGGGAGCTATTCATGTCTGCAGGATGGCGAAAAGGCAGCTCTGGCAGCAGCGATAGCATTGCTCGTAGGAGTTAGCAAAATGAAGAGACTTGACTTCTTCCAAAGACGCCTAAGCTCTTAGCTCAATGCAATGCAAACGTAACCCCTATCTTTGCTTCTGTTTTGCCATCTGTCATCTTCTATTGCCCTGCGGCATGGGAGGATATATAGTATCTCACAAAAGTGAGTATATCTCTCACATTTTTGTAAATATGTGATTATATATTTTCATGTGAAAACCCTGAAAAAATGACACTTTGCTACAATGTAAAGTAGTGAGTGTACAGCTTGTATAACTTCACTGCCTTAACCCTCTTTGGGCATGGAGTTTACCAGAGCTTCACAGGTTGCCACTGGAGTCCCCTTCCGCTCCTCCATCCTCCATCAGCTGGTGGAGGACCATACGCTCCTCCACCTTCCGTTTCAGGATGCCCCACAGATGCTCAATAGGGTTTAGGTCTGGAGACATGCTTTGCCAGTCCATCACCTTTACCCTCAGCTTCTTTAGCAAGGCAGTGGTCAACTTGGAGGTGTGTTTGGGGTCATTATGTTGGAATACTGCCCTGCAGCCCAGTCTCAGAAGGGAGGGGATCCTGCTCCACTTCAGTATGTCACAGTACATGTTGGCATTCATGGTTCCCTCAATGAACTGTAGCTCCCCAGGTCCGGCAGCACTCATGCAGCCCCAGACCAGGACACTCCCACCACCATGCTTGACTGTAGGCAGGACACACTTGTCTTTGTACTCCTCACCTGATTGCCGCCACACACACTTGACACCATCTGAACCAAATAAGTTTATCTTGGTCTCATCAGACCTGCTTGTCTTCAGCAAACTGTTTGCGGGCTTTCTTGTGCATCATCTTTAGAAGAGGCTTCCTTCTGGGATAACGGCGATACAGGCCAATTTGATGCAGTGTGCAGTGTATGGTCTAAGCACTGACAGGCTGACTCCCCTCATACGGCAGCACTCATACGTCTGTTTCCCAAAGATAACCTCTGGATATGACGCTGAGCATGTGCACTCAACTTCTTTGGTTGAACATGGCAAAGCCTGTTCTGAGTGTAACCTGTCCTGTTGAACCGCTGTATGGTCATAGCATCTTTGCTGCAGCTCAGTTTCAGAGTCTTGGCAATCATCTTATAGTCTAGGCCATCTTTATGTAGAGCAACAATTCTTTTTTTCAGATCCTCAGAGAGTTCTTTGCCATGTTGAACTTCCAGTGACCAGTATGAGTGTTAGAGCAATAACGCCAAATTTAACACACCTGCTCCCTATTCACACCTGAGACCTTGTAACACAAATGAGTCACATGACACTGGGGAGAGAAAATGGCTAATTGAACCCAATTTGGACTATTTCACTTAGGGGTGTACTCACTTTTGTTGCCAACGGTTTAGACATTAATGGCTGTGGGATGTGTTATTTTGAGGGGACAGCAAATATACACTGTTATACAAGCTGAACACTCACTACTTTACATTGCCGCAAAGTGTCATTTTTTCAGTGTTGTCACATGAAAAGATATAATCAAATATGTACAAAAATGTGAGGGGTGTATTCACTTTTGTGAGACTGTATCTGAGTTGACCCATGTCACAGACTTTCAGCGCAGGGGCTAAATAGTTGACCTCCCATTTTAACATGTTGTCTTCAGTGAGGTGATTTGGTGTCTCTGAGGCATATCTGACCTATATTGCTTCAGCCATACTCTGCACAGACACAGTCCATTTCACTAACTGCAACTTAGTGAAGGCCCTCTGCCTCACGTCTTGCATTTCTTTACATTGCCATCCATCTCGCTATCCTCTCCTCTCCCCAGCTTTTCTGCAGGAAAATTGATTCTTTATGGTCAGACAGAAGGGACTTTCCCTCATGTGACATGTGAAGTGCAACCCACCCTACCCCTTTTCACATCACATTTTCCGCATATTCTATCAAGTGTAGACTAGGAGTGGATGATATGGACACTATTCTCTGTCACAGTAAAGTCCTTTTAAAACACTATACTACACTGAACAAAATTGTAAATGCAACACTTGCTGAACTCAAAGATCTAAGACTTTCTCTATGTACACAAAAGGCCTATTTCTCTCAAATGTTGTTCACAAATCTGTCAAAATCTGTGTTAGTGAGCACTTCTCCTTTGCCGAGATAATCCATCCACCCACCTCAGGTGTGGTAAATCAGGATTCTGATCAGACAACATGGGTATTGCACAGGTGTGCCTTAGGCTGGCCACAATAAAAGGCCACTGAAATGTTTAGAAAAGACACTTTAGAAAAATCTGATGGTTAATGAATTTATATCATCTCACAATATTTATTATATCGCCAAACCTTAGTGTCCACAAAGACGTGTAAATGAAAATGTAATATACATAATGAACCTTTATTAGAGCACACAAATTATTACAACACAAGATACTAATGTCGTAATTTCACAGCACTCTCACATCGCATTCATTCCAGCATTTCCTGTCCAATGGGATCGTAAAGGCATTTTGCAGCAAGTAGGCCTAGCTGATTGTTGTCAGTATACATGTAAATTAGCTATAAATGCTCAGATACATTTTGACATTACTGTGTTGTTTTCTAATACATAGTTGTGTATTTTGTAATAAACCTCGCCAGATAATGGATAAAATGTTTGTCACGTAATACTTGCTGCATGTTATTCTTTTCAGTTTTACATTTCTGGTCAGGTACAAGTTACACAAACAAGATACAACTTTTTAATAAGACATTTTTGTTAGTTAAGTTATTAGTAGGTGTATTTTGACAGAGCTAGGCTAAATGTTTTCTCCCTACCAACAGTCTTGATGCTAAGCTAGGCTAAACATGCTTTGAATTCAGCCCCATACTTAATGCACAGACATGATATTGATATACTTTTTCTTATAATTTCTCATTTCACTCGTAGAAAGAAGGCATATATGAGTATATTTCCCAAAATGTTAAACCACTTCCTAAACTTCACAAGTCTCAGCCTACAGGTAGCAGTAGTTCTGTAGCATGCATGCATGCTAAAGTCTGATGTCAGTCTGTCACAGTCTCTAGTTTCAATACTGACATTAATATATGTAATGCTAGCTGTAGGAGGATGTTTCTGCACACATAATAGGATGACTGTGATGCAGGGCCATAGATAAATGTTTGGCTTTCATGTCTGTCTGTGAGGTAAACAGGCAGAGGCTTCTGAGGTCAGAGTTACATTTTCACTGAAGGAGGGGGTGGAGAGAGAAGCGAAGAAAAAGACTGAGAGGAAGAGTTATAAAGTATAGGAAACCCAAAGGAAAAGGGGAAGAGAGAAAGAGGAAGGCAAATAGGAACAGTTAGGGTAAGAGGGAACAAATACAAGGTGTTCAAACTATAAGGAAATAGAGTGGGATTGAAGAGAGGAAAGATGAAGGGAAAGTCAACAGAAGAAAGACAAACAGAGAAACGGAGAGCAAGAAAATTGGGAATGAGGACAGAGGGAAGAAATTGAGGGTGGGGGACCATGTTGGCTTTTGTATTGTACTGGTCTTGTTTGTTTTCTATTTGCTATATCTCTCCCTTCCTCCTCCCTCTACCCTCTGCCCTCTGTCTCAGCTGCTCACCCGCCCTAACAATCCTCCTTTTTATTTCTTCCAGGGCAGGGACAACGCATGAGGCCTGGGAAGATCATTAACTGCACACAAACACACACATATAACTGGTACGTTTTGTTCTGCCTATCTTTCCATGTGTTTAATGCAGGTATGTGTAGTATGTGTGTGTACACATCATAGACTGTATAAATTCCCATCCCATTGGTGTGTGGACTACTGCTTTGAATGTTCGAGTTTGGCATTTTGGATATAGCCATCTTGTTTTTTTGAACCAGAAGTGACCATATTCGCATAAGAGGGTGACACTAGCTATCTTGGTTAGTAAGGTGCATCCAAAATTCTAGTTAGCTGTGATATTAATTGTGATGCTAAATTGGCTAGCGATAAAAAATTAACAGCCGACTCCTCAGAGTGTCTTTTAGTACAACTGACAGCTAAAGAATACATTTTTAGGCGACCAAACTGTTACAATGAACTTTTGTGAACTGAAAACTGACTGTGAAAGGGTCAAAGTTGTTGGACGAAAATACCAACAACACCCAAAAACAAGTTAAAGCTAGTCCAATGCAGCACTGTAAAATAAGCTTTTTCAACGGCACTAGTCATGCCTTAAAGCATACCCTGCTTTATCGTCTATTTTACTCGAAATTGGACCATAGTTTACTAAATGAACATCATGCTTATTGAAGAAGACTTGAAAATAGCAATTAGGACCATAAACTCACTAGGAAAGTGTTTACTGAGGTAATAAATCAATGATAAGTAGTGTAGTGTAGACTCCAATGCAATCTCACTTCTTTTTGCAAGTAGTGGAGTCGTCCCCTGCTGGTTTAAGATACTTTTGCAAAGGCTTTACTTTTCAGACCCCTACTGTCTTCATTCTCAAATTGTGCACAGTGATTTGTCACAAATGCAGAATGCTCATATTCTCGCCATCTCTGCCCTGCCTCAAACACCCACAGTTCTGTAGCTTACCCAGGAAGCTTCAGTGACTCCCACTGAGGAGTTGCTACAGGTATTATAAGAGTGTAATGCCCAATGTATATGGGGGTGACATGTTCCCTTCACTTTCCAAAATATACTTCTAAAACCTTTAAAGTTTCAGTTTGATTATTCAGTAAAATCCTGTGTCGTCTACAATTTAAACGAGGGAACCTCAAGTTCATAAAAATGTTGACAGCTGGGTCACCTTGAGTAACGGCTTTTTCCACTGCATTTTACTGTCAGGTTCAATTCAATTTGGTGGAGACCAAAAAGAGAGAAAAAACTAGAGTGAATATTGGACTACATTCATCAGGTGGCCACGAACACACCACTAAACACCTCCTAACCATGAGACTGGTGGAGCTTTCCAACACTAAGTACTTATTGCATCACCAATTGCATAATTTGGCTAGGAATATAATTCTTCTATTTGACTAAGTAAGTGTATGCAGATTAGGTTTTTAGCACTGTGTTTTTGAAGTAATGGGAATGCTTTAGGGAATGTATATAAATAAATATTTTACAATTTTAATGTACTAAACAGTAAGCAACATAAACAAAACTTAGCTTTAGACATTGAAATAAACACATGCTGGTAGGGGTGATGGAGCACCAAATGCCGATCCTAGATTCAAAGAATTAGACTTTTATTTAAATTCTGTTTCTGTAACTCTGCACAAAGCATCTTTATAAATCAACTTCAAGGCAATGGTGCCTCCCGTAGTCCTGTTGTATCCTCCTCTACTCTCCTGTCTCGGCACAGCTGGAGAGAATGGGGAAGCGCATAATTGTGGTTTAATCCTGCTCTAAGTCCCTGCAGCATTAGGGAAGCAGCAGAGGGAGATAATGCATAGCAGCTTGGGTAGAGAGAGATGGAAAAAAAAAGTTATTTGGACAGATGTTTGGTGAGAAAGACTTTAATGGTAGAGAGCTCATACTGGATGGGAGGGGACTGGTATAAGTCTTAGGCTGAAGTGCCACTTGGGGGAACTAAGGTGATACAAAAGTACACACATTTAATTTCTGCTGTGACCACAAGTGATAATTCCTTGACAATAGCACATTTTGGATGAGTCTCATGCAGGAACTGATCTGTGTAAATCTACATATAAATAGTCTCATTCCTTATGAGCAAAATGAGCTGTCATTTTTTCGCAACCCCGCCTTGTGTGTTGCTGTGGTGATCAATGCAACATTTGCACATCAGTTTGGTTGTGTCCCACACTCTTGAAGTGGGGGAAGATGTTGTAAATAAGTCACTCTTACTATTATAAATATTCGCCAGTGTTATAACCAGTTATGATGCTGTTGTAAATAATTGACATCCAGGGTGTTGACCACTATGAAGTAAGACAGGTTAGTGGCCTAGTTTGACTAAAGGTTCTTTTGTTGAATGATTAAATGGTATTTATTTAATTGATTTCTTGGATTATTGACAGTTTAAGAATTTTAATAAATGCACTTGTAGCTGGATTTTCTTTGCGAGACTAAATTCTACATAATTTAACTAAATTAATATTTTATGAGCAAATGAATGGAAGAAATACAAAGGCTTTTATTTCAGCGTGTTAAACATATATTTAATCAACTTGTACGTAAATAGTGATAGTAATAAGTATCTGTATCGGCAGACACCCAATATAATAGTTACAAATGATGTGTCCAAAATATATATGTATGTGTTTACAATAATATAATATATTTGGCTACTACAAGAGAAAATGCAATTCAGTACTTTCTGTCGTGAAAGAGAGTGTCTTGTTCAATCATTAAAGGGAACATATTGTGCTTTTTCATATTTTCTGGTATTTCTATAATGTAAAAATGTCAGATGTTCATGTTAAACATGACAAAAGCTTCAAATAATGAGGGAAAAGTATTTAAAATAAATCCCTGTTAGCCAAAACCTCAAATATCCCCTGTTCTGAATGCTCTGCTCTGTTTTAAACAGTTTTTTCTACCAACGGCTCGGTATGATGTCATTTCGAGCCGAGAAGCGTTGGTGATTCATGATGCTTGTCAAAGCTGTGAAATGTACTCCCTTGTCAATGGCTCCAGCAGTGACCTTTCGATCCACTTTCAAGTCAAGCTTTTCTATCAGAGTGGTCCCCACTGGACAGTATCTCCACGCTCTTTGCTTAGACGAAGGCCAGAATATGGTTTTTTCCACAGAAGAAGGAGAGATTTCGTTAATGGGGGAAGAAAATCAGCAGTGGAACTGTGTTAGGGGGATATCTTTATATGGTGTGTTTAGCCCCAGGAAGCGAGTCTTTTCAGAGCAGGGATGGGGCGGTGCAGACATTATACTCACACTTTTGGGTTCAGGGGTTGATATGCACATATGTGTGTGCAGGGGTTGTATTGTACTGTGCATACATATGCAGCCATGTGTTCATGTGAACGTGCATCTGTTAGTGCTTGTGTGTCTTCAAGTAGGAGCCAGGCGGGGTGTTAGGCATGGCCACAGGCAGGCGAGGAGGTGGGATCAGTCTCCCATCACTAGGCTAGAGGCAAGCATTCTTAACACCTCATAAATCTCACCTGGTGCTACAGGACCGCTGCTGACATAGCTGCTGCAGTGCACGCTCACACACATGCATGCACACACCTCATACACACATGTACAAACTGTGTAGCATGCACATTATTTAGTGGGTGCATGTTGTATGCAGCTGTTTGTGTATATATAGTATATTTTATTGCACACACGGAGTAAAGTCAGAGCCAGAGTGTCAGTCTTGTCAACAGCAGCAGTGAAAATGGAAAAATACAGTGATGTGTAATCTGTCTGTATAATGTATCACATTTCATCTGTCTGCTCTTTGGACATACATGAGAACAAAGGAAAAGTTAATCTTGGCAGCACTGTGGATGCACTAAATCCAAGCCATTGATTAATTCTGCTGTACAGTAGCCCAAGTGAAACTAATCTCTCTTCTGAATTCTCCTCATCACAAACCACTGACTTTTTAGCGCTCCTGATTCAGTTGTTTAGGTAACATAAGATGTTAATCACTGTCCAAACCCAGTCGAAGGTCTTAACATAAAGCTCTACACAACATTTTTTCAATGGATTTTAATACCATGTTTGCTGAGGCAGTCTGTCAACTTACATTCTTGTGCCTCTGATCCAATTGGTTATGAATAAAAAAACAGGGAAGAGAGTTTACTCGTTCCATTGTGTTTCAGTGGATTCATTTGACTTCTTTACCTTTGTTTTTTTGTTCTCAGTGATTGTAATGTTTGTATAATGTGATTTTTTTTTTTAACCATTAAATTAAATAACTCACATTTACATCTACATAGACAAGTGCTAGTTACTGTTACCTGCTTTGGTTGTGTAACTTTCTGAAAATACAGCCAGGGGGCCCTGCACAGCACTAAAACAACATATTTGCTGCTTGAGTAAAAAAAAATCTGCCTCTTTGCTAGCAGGAAATTACAGTTTATCACTATTCTGCTTTCTTATCTGTTAAAAAGCCGGATGCACTACTGCTGAAAATGAAGCAAATTACCCAAATATCCCAAACAAATTTATAGCAATTCACTAATATAACTACAGTCAGACGACAACTATTACTGGTGTGTTACATTAGGGCACTTGAGAAGGTGTTTCTCACTGAACTGCTGTATAGGAAGTAATGCAGTCTAGCCAGAGCCTGTTATATATTCCCTGAACTTGTGTACTTTTCTATCTGCTGTCATCAGCTCCACACGTGTCTTAATGTACGTGTACACTCCCCTGACCTCGTGTGTTCTTTATGTCTCACCGTGTATGTGGTTATTACAGTGCTTTTATCTGAAAGACCTAATGTCCTTATAAAAGACAACACAGGATAGGTTAAAGCAAGATTTGGGCAACTAGTTTGACTGAAGAAGCAGTGCTCATTTCCACAGGTGTAAACACTTGTTTGCACAAAGCAGTAATACCTCGATATGGGCTTTGGAAAAGAAAAATATGTACTTTCTCTCTAAAATTGGTCCCGCTGTGCATCTGCTCTGTCTTTTTAATCCAAGAAAAGTATTGATTACTGATGAGCCCACTCAGCACACACACTCACACACAAACACAGGGCCAGGTTCAGTGGAATTTGTTTTTGGAAAAGTATGACAGTTAAGCTCC